CTATTAACGACATTTTGGACAAGGTCTATATAAAATTTTACATCTCCGCCCCCCCCCCCAAACTGAAACGCATCGACTCGAAACTCACAGTGAATGCTAACAATGAACTTCAGAGGAGAAGCAAGAAACGACGATAAACCTCTGAAGACATATACCTTCATACCAGAATGCTATCAAATGAACGGCGAGTAACAGCCGGCTCAGCATAGGTACGAAAGGAGGAAAGCAAAGCTTGAAGAAACAAGCGAAAACATGAATACGCACAACTCAACACAACAACAAAGAAATAAGCGGAACACTTGCTAGAAACATACTAGGACAGGCCATATATTCAATTATTCGAATGTTCCAACACGCTTGAAACACAAAAACAAAAACGAAAGCAGCGGACTAGCATACTACATGAGCAACATCACAACCAGCAGTAGACACACACTGAAGCAACTGAATAAATATACTTAAACCAAGAACAAACGCCAAACTTCCATATAAGAAGAAGCAACAAATTTCAGAAAAAGTTAATCAAAACTTCTTCAACAGCCACGACATAAAATGAACCAGAACAAACCCAACAAAGCAATGAGCGATAGAGAGGACCACTTCGATATGAAAGAAGACGAGAAGATAGTATGGAGTGGAGGGGTTACCTCTTCGAAAGCAGCGAACGGGAGACGACGAGTAGGAATGAGAGCTTTCCACGATGAGGTAAGCGCCAATGACTATCCACAATCGAAGACAAGATGAACACCAGCGACAACGGACCGGACTGCTAGTCGGATGTTCTTGAATATAAGAATCGCCTATATTCGATACGTGTCCTTGTCTTCGACAAAGATTTCCAAAGAGAAACGGGAAAGAGCCGGAATATTTTAACAATTTTTCTCAACAAAAATCCTCCCAAAAAATGTCCAACCCCCTTTCTGACGAAGAAAAGGGGTTTTTATAGAGGAGAACGGAATTAGGGTTTCGGATTTTGGGCGGGATCGACGATGGCCCATTTCGAAATTTGAAATCTCAAACATTATCCAACAGAAACGGATATTCCTCGATTCCTGGCTCTTTGATCGGCTCTGAGGCGATGTGGAGGGTCGAGATTAAACTCTCGTCCTTGGCAAACGACGCGGCACAATCCTACGTCGCCAAGGACGAGCTCGTGTCGCCTAGCATGCTGCAGGGTTGTACGACGAGGATAGGGTCGCAGCACTATTGCAAGGCTGTTGTGGTACTCTGCTCACGCGCAAATGGAGAGAGAAGGAGAGAGGGAGAGGGCGTGAAGGAGACGCGGGGCGTGAGGAGACGCGGGGGATGATTTCCATTTCGGGTGTATTTGGCTTTTCTGCATTTCTGGGGAGCTTCTGTTCTTTTCTGGAAACGTTGGGGGAAGAAGGAAGGGGGAGGCGGGTTTGGATTGGGGCTGGGTCGAATGGGTTGGGTCGGGGGTTAACTTGGGCTGGGAGAGGGTTTTTTTAAGTGAAGGTGGGCTTGGGGTTGAAATGGGTCGGACGGAGGGGGGGTAATTGGTGTGGGCTGGATTAGGAATTAATCTAGTGGGCTCGGATGAGGGATTTGGGCCTGGGAAAATAGGTTGGGCTGGAGAAAGGGAAGAGGAGGGAAAACGGGTGGGCCTGGGAGGTAGGAGAGTGGGCTAGGCAAATTTTTTAAAGGAATGGGCTGGGAATTTAACAAGTTAAAGCAGTGCTTTGGTTTAATTTAGAAGATATCCAATTAAAATGATGAATTTTGCATTAATCAATTAACGAGCCCCTTTTATTTAATAAAATCACTATTAAAGTCGTAAAAAGTGATTCAAAAGTATAATTATAATTAAAATTAAACTACTTTAATAAAACATTTAAAAGCATATTTTGATGGTTTTTGAATAATCATAAGATATACAAACTATATACATAATTATGTAATATATATATATATATATATATATATATATATATATATATATATATATAAATCATGACGAAAGGCATTCGAAGTAACATGACATTCATGTATCATATTATTATATTCGTAAAATTTGTAAAACTAATTAATTAAAAAATATTTGGAAAATTTAGGAAGCTCGATAATTAATTTATACTGACGCGGGTCAAAATTGGGTGTCAACAACACCCTCCGCAAGGGCAGTCGCCCCATGGTCAAATATCTGGACGAAGCAGCCTCGATTAACTCTGATCTTGATGCCCTCAATGAAGTTGTTCCCGAACGAGATGTCATCAATGTTGTTGTTCGGGGCCTGCCTGCCAAATTTTCTTCTCTAAAACAAAACATCCGCTATCATGATGGCCCACTCACACTCAATCAAATATCGGGCTGGTTGAATACAGAAGAATTAAATCTTGCCATGGAATCCAAATTGGCCCTCGCTGACTCGACAGCTCAGGCAACTCACACTGCCCTTTACGCCACTGGAAAGCGTGGTGTCGGAAGTCCAAGCAGACACGGTGCACACCGCGGCGGAGGCAGAGGACGGCAGCAGTCACTCGGCCAAAGCAGCAATTCTAGCTGCAGAAAACCTGACTAGGATAGTAGACGCGGTGGCGGCAATTTTTCATCAAGTCGCGACCTTCCTGTGTGTCAAATCTGTGACAAGCGTGGCCACGCTGCTCATGTATGTTAGTATCGCTACGACAAGCAGTCTGTTTCTGCCCCAACCGGCGGAACTCGTGCGATGCATGCATCTACAAGCAACTCTTCAAGTGATTGGTATCTGGATATTGGTGCAAATTCTCACGTGATGCCTGATTACTCTCAACTCCATAATCCAACTTCCTATTCTGGCGCCGACACAATCACTGTAGGTAACGACCAATCTTTACCTATCTCCAATACAGGTTTTGGCTATGTTTACACCCCCACAAGTACTTTCTCATTGTCCACGCTACATCATGTCCCATTCCTAACATCCAATCTTCTGTCTGTCTATCTGTTTACCAAAGAAAATAACTGCACTCTTCTTTTCAATGCCTATAATTTCAGATAGTGGACAATTTAACCAAACAGATCCGGTACAAGGGCCGCTGTGAGCAAGGTCTATACACTCTTCCTTCCAAGCTATCTACGTCAATCTCATCTTCATCAGTTGCTCATCAAGCCATTCGTTCCTCTACCTGGCACCGCAGACTTGGCCATCCATGTGCCGAAGTTACTAAGTCCATTTTGTCTGTCTTAGGTTTTTCGTTTTCCACTAAGGATCATTGTGAGTCATGATATGTAGCCAAATCGAGATGTTTACCATTTATCTTATCTAACACTGAGGCCACAACGCCATTTGAATTAATACATTCTGATGTTTGGGGTCCAACCTCCATCTCTTCCTTTAAAGGTTTTCGTTACTATATATGTTTTGTTGATGATTATAGTAAATTTACATGGCTTTATCCCTTAAAACGCAAATCTGAAGCATATTCGGTTTTTTAAAATTTTAAACGCATGGTCAAAAAACAATTCAATTCCAACATCAAAATCTTTCGTAGTGACAATGGCAAAGAATTTTTAAACAATGCCTTTGGATCTTCTCTCCAATCTCTTGGTATTATTCATCACACATCTTGCCCATATACTCCTGAACAAAATGGTGTTGCCGAACGCAAACACCGTTACCTCATTGAAACTATTGTCACCCTCCTTCATGAGTCTCATCTCCCTGCATCCTTCTAGGTAGAGGCGTTGTGCACTGCCAACTATCTCATCAACCGCATGCCCACACCCTCCCTCTCTAACACATCTCCTTATGAATGTCTCTACACACACCGTCTGGTTTACACTCACATTCGCACCTTCGGTTGTCTTGCCTACCCTTGGCTACGTCCTCACACTCAACACAAACTTCAACTCTGGTCTACACCATGTGTCTTTCTAGGCTACCACCCCACCATAAAAGGATACAAATGTTTTGAACCCATCTCTCAAAAAACATATGTCTCTCGTCATGTTCGTTTTATCGAGGATGAATTTCCCTATCCCCGGTTGAGTTCCGTCACAACCACGTCCAATTCCGACTCTCTCGTCCAAAATGGATCACCCAGCACCCACAATCCACCTATCCCACCAAGCTTCAATCCTCCTCACCAAGAACCTCCACCAGCCGAAACAACACCCCCTCCACCCCCACCCCCACCACCTTTACATCCCATGCAAACTCGTTCCAAATCTAGCATTTTCAAGCCCAAAGCCTACACCACTACTTTACCTGCTCTCTCTCCCTCTGAACCTATTACCTACAAACTAGCCTCTAGCAATCCCCTTTGGTGTCAGGCTATGGACGATGTATACAGGTCTCTTATTAATCAACGTACTTGGGAATTGGTGCCAGCACCCCGACATCGAAAACCAATTGGTTGCAAGTGGGTGTACCGCATCAAACGTAATGCTGATGGATCCATATCTCGTTACAAAGCTCGCCTAGTTGCGTAGGGTTATTATCAAAAGTATGGCATTGCTATAAGGAGACTTTCAGCCCAGTCATCAAGCAGCAGACTATCCGTCTAGTCTTGTCTCTCACTCTTCATAATGACTGGACCCTACACCAGCTAGATGTTAGCAATGCCTTTCTACATGGCACTCTGGAGGAGGACATTTATATGGATCAACCACCCAGCTATGTTGATTCCCGCCACCCACATCTTATATGCAAGCTCAAAAAGTCTCTCTATGGTCTTAAAGAGGCCCCCCGTGCTTGGTATAATCGTTTCTCTTCCTTTCTGCAGGATATGGGCTTTCGCACGTGCACTCATGACACAAGTCTATTCACTCTACGGCATCCTCGTGGCCTAGTTATAATTCTTCTCTATGTTGATGATATTGTGATTACCGGCAGCTCATCTGATCTTATCTCCATTATCACGAAGGGCATGCATCAAAATTTTTAGCTGAAAGATCTTGGCCCTCTACATTACTTCCTTGGCATTGAAGTACTCCATACCTCCTCTAATCTCCTACTTCATCAGTCAAAATACACAGAGGAGCTTCTCACTCGGGCAAGGATGGCTGAATCTAAAACTGCACCTATTCCCATGGTTGTCCGTCAACCATCCACCTCAGACAACCGTCTATTCGACAATCCGACCCTCTATCGAAGCATCATGGGTGGCCTTTACTATCTAGCTGTTACTCGTCCAGACATCCAACATGCGGTTAATCGTGTCTCTCAATCCATGCATGCTCCAACTGAACAAAACTTTCAGGCATTAAAAAAGATTCTTTGTTATCTAAAGGGTAGCTCACGTCGTGGACTTCTTTTCCAAAAAGAAAATTTGGAGCTCTCCATCTACTCCGACTCAGACTGGGCAAACGACAAGGATGATCGTCGCTCCACCACCGGGTACCTACTGTTTCTTGGACAAAATTTAATCTCTTGGTGCACCAAAAAGCAAACGCGGGTATCTCGTTCTTCCACCGAAGCTGAATACCGAGCTATGGCGGCTGGAGTTGCCGAAGCTATGTGGCTTCATCATATTACAGATGCTCTTGGCCTTCCTCCTTTTCGGCCAAAGATTTACTGTGACAACGAGTCCACCATTTGCGTTACAAAAAATCAGTCCTTCACGATCGTATGAAGCGTGTTGGTTCTGATTGCCACTTTGTTCGTCAACAAGTCATGGTTGGTACTATGAGCACACATCATGTCACGACCCAAATCGGGTCGCGACTGGCACCCACACTTACCCTCCTATGTGAGCGAACCAACCAATCTAAACCTTAACATTTCAATATAATATCAACAGAAAGTAATGCGGAAGACTTAAACTCATTAATAAAAACCAATTCAATAACTTCTAAAAACTCAACAACTATTATTATTATCCCCAAAATCTGGAAGTCATCATCACAAGAACATCTATGATCAAATTACTAAACTAAGAGTATTCTAAGAAGCTAAAACAAGTAAAAGCTAGTCCATGCCGGAACTTCAAGGCATCAAGACATGAAGAAGAAGATCCAGTCCAAGCTAGAAGCATTAGCCCACCCTGAAATCCGGTGTAATTGAAGACTGGCTAGAGTTGCGGTTGAGTTGAAGACGACGGCACGTTTGCTGCACTCCATAAATATCAAAGAAGAAAACATAAAAGTAGGGGGTCAGTACAAACACAAGTACTGAGTAGGTATCATCGGCCAACTCAAAATAGAAAACAGTAAATATCAGATAACATCATAAAATCAACTAATATCCTTAACATGCAGCATTTACAATTACCATAACCCTTGGTTACAACACCAAGCACATCAATGAGGATTCACGCCTCCTCATCATACTCATTTGGGAATTAGGTTCATTAGATTGAGTATATTAGCATCTTTCAAGATTCATTATCTTTATTCCTCTCGTGTTGGACGTGACACTCCGCTCCTCATATACTATCCTGGTGTCGGAACGTGACACTCCGATCCTCATTATATCCTGGTGTCGGAACGTGACACCCAATCCATATTCTATCCTAGTACCGAAACGTGGCACCCGATCCATATACTATCCTGGTGTCGGAATGTGACACTCCGATCCTCATTCTATCCTGGTGTCGGAACGTGACACCCGATCCATATTCTATCCTGGTACCGGAACGTGGCACCCGATCCCCTAATCTTACTACTTTCGTTCATCAAGCTTTCTTTTACACTAAGGCATCATCATTAACATAGTAGATTAGGGTTTCTCAAGATTTAGGATTCAATAGCTTCATCATGCTTATTTTATCACAATTACATAATCACATTCATGCAAGCATACAATTAAGCATATAGAAGGGTTTACAATACTACCCATACATATCATTCGCTATTAAGAGTTTACTACATATAGTATAAAAACCATAACCTACCTCCACCGAAGAATTGCGATCAAGCAAGCTAATCCTCAAGATCTTGGCTTTCCTCTTTGTTTCTCTCTCTCGATCGTTTCTCCCTCTCTTTCTGTTCTTTTCTTTTTCTTATTCAAACCCTCTTTCTTTTACTCTAATTAGCATATAATTAAGTATAAAAGATGGTGAATTAACCCATTAATTAATTCAAGGTTATCTCTTTTAACCCTCAAGTAGTTAAATTATTAACATTAACCCACTAAATTTATAATTAAAGCAGGAATAGTCAAAAACGTCCCTCAAAATATTAAAGAAATCCAACTCCGCCTGGGATTACGCAGCCTGTGATGGCCCGTCGCGCCTGCAACGGTCTGTCCTGCTGCTCCGTCACAGAATTCAGAGACTCAATTTCTCTGAAGAGTCTGTGACGGTCCGTCACACCTGTGACGGTCCATCCTGCCATTCCGTTACGAAGTTCAGAGAGTCAATTTCAGTGCCCATTTTTCAGAATTCTAAGTATTTTGGAATGAGACCCCCTCGACGGTCCGTCGTGCCCATGACGGTCCATCGTGGGGTCCGTTGTTTCTGTTAGTTTTTCCAGAATCAAAGTCTGCTGCTCAAAACGACTAAACATGTCGTTACAATAGATACCAATTTACCCATCGTTCGTCCTGGAACGATCATAAGAAGAAAAACAAGGGCGAAAAGAAGTACCTGAATCTGTAAACAGCTGTGGGTATCTTTCTTGCATATCAGCCTCTTTCTCCCAAGTGGCTTCTTCAACAGGTCGATTCTTCCATTGAACTTTGATGGATGCAATCTCCCTTGACCTCAGCTTACGAACTTCTCTATCCAAAATGGCAACAGGCTCCTCCTCATAAAACAAATTTTCATTAAGCAGAACTGAATCCCAACGGATAATGTAGTTTCCATCCCCGTGGTATCTTTTCAACATAGACACATGAAACACCGGATGTACTCCGGATAGCCCAGGAGGCAAGGCTAACTCATAAGTAACCTCCCCTATGCGCTTCAGAACCTCGAAGGGACCAATATACCTCGGACTAAGCTTACCTCGCTTACCAAACCGCATCACCCCTTTCATGGGTGAAACCTTCAGCAAGACTTGCTCACCCTCCGTAAACTCCAAGTCTCTAACCTTGCGATCTACATATTCCTTTTGCCTACTTTGCACTGCTAAAAGCTTTTCTTGAATAGATTTCACTATCTCCAATGAATCCCTCAAAAGGTCAGTACCCCAAGGTCTAACCTCAAATGCATCAAACCACCCAATGGGAGACCTACATCTTCTCCCATATAGTGACTCAAATGGGGCCATATCAATGCTTGAGTGATAGCTATTGTTGTTGGAGAACTCTGCTAAGGGTAAGAAGCTATCCCAATGACCACCAAACTCTATCACACATGCACGTAGCATATCCTCCAACACTTGAATTGTTCGCTCAGACTGACCATCGGTCTGAGGATGGAACGCAGTACTAAGGTCCAACCTAGT